ATCGCGACCTCAGGGAATGAATAAAAAATCTAACAATAATAATGATAATAATAAAATTAATCACCTTATTATACATGCAAACGATTTCATCGGTTCAAGACGTTGTTTATGTTCGTCAGGAATAAATTGTAACACACGATCAACTAAACGGTCCGATCCAAGATTGACGAGATAACATAATAAAAGTGATTTTTCTTGAAATAAAACAAATAATAAATATTATGGTCAGTTAATAAATAGATTACAGAAATAAAAAATAAAAGCATGAAATTATTTTTTTTTAGAGAAAAGAAAAGACAACACAGTCAAATGTGCAACTTACTTTGTAAACCCCAAGATTTGTTAATTGACATTAATTCTGCTTCTAAATTTTCAGGATTAGTTTTTAGTGTTCTGTTGTGTATGGCGATAAATGCAATGAACAAAAGATGAACAAAAGAAAATTGATTTTTTTTACTAACATGAACATGTATAATTCATAAGATGTATATACTGAAGATCAAAATTATTCCTTGAAAAGCAGGGTTAATAAGATAGAGATGATCAAAGCGACAACTCATACTGTTGTTACATGCTGTTTGAGTTACAAAAGTCTGTCCGAAATCTAGCATGAATCATACAGTCGCATCGTGGTACTACTAATAATGTAGTGCCTCCACATTTATTTGCATCCGTTTAGAATTTAATTTCCTTAAGCTCCCCCTTTCGATTAATTTCTTTAACCAAGCCATTCGTGTAGCAACAACTTGTAGTATGTACCAATGGCTTTTATCATTGTATGGTTTGTATGAACTGGTATGATTGAGCATCGGTTAACGCTTATGCGCATATGCATCCTATTCTCGCTTTATTATTAATCTCTTAAATACTACGATGACTCAGATATTTTCCTTTGTATATAAACGAACATTTTAATTTCATTCCTTCATTCGCACATTCGCTCGCCAGTGTGTCTGCCCGGTCTGTCTGTGGTCTCTATCCTTTTTTGTGATGTGCTACAATAAACGTATACAATACTTCGAATTCATCTTCTGATTTATTAACCGTCAGACGTCATTTAGTAACGATTGTCTGAACGAGCTAATTACGAAACGTAAGAACACCTCGAAATCGGCACACTACACTAAGCCCCATTATATATTATGCGGTATAAAAACTATCGGCTAGAAAGAATTCATAGGACTTTACCTCAATAGGGGGGTTATGATGAGTTCAGCCCTATTCACGCTATACACCTCTGACCAGACTATCAATAAACGTTTACGAACGTAGTAACATTTTATAACACCACCTATTGATCGACACTTGAGCCCTTGAATAATTAGTCTAATCGACAGAGTTATTCATTTAGTAACTATCGTATTTGTGTGTGTGTGTGTGTGAGAGAGAGAGAGAGAGCGTGTACGCCAAATCACCCGAATCGTTATGAATTCAATTCAGTGATGTGTGATAACGTTTACATACTAACTAAATCAAACTGTATGCTAGACAGTAAACAGATTACAAATGATTCACAAACTTCGCATTCAAACAAAACGAAAACTGAACTCATTAACAAAAACAAATAATTAATCGTCTTACTTAACAAGAGATTCAGCAGCAGCTGGCACTGATTCTTTAGACACCGGTTTCTGTAAAAGACACAGATAGAATCTCATATAAGATTAGAGTCCGATAAATAAGACCAAACAACATGTAACATAATGAGCTATATCAAGAACTTTACTTATTTATGCCTGTTAAATAAAACTAGCCGCCGATCAGTGTTCTCCAACTAACCTTGTCATTGGTGTTCTTTTGCAGTTCTACCCGATTGCTAATCATTCTTTTCCAGTTTTCAATCCTCGGAGCTGCGTTTCTTAAACTCCTTCTCCTTCTTTGGCCTTGAGGATTCTAAGTGACGGCTTTTGATCTCGAAGTTAGGCGTCTACGGAGTCCTTCATTCTGTTTAACAACACTCTGTTGAAGACTTTTGCTGGAATTGATCGTAGAGTGATGTCTCTGAGGTTCTCACACTTGCTGAAATCAGCTTTCTTTGGCATCTTGATAAGATGTGCGCTTCTATCCAATCCGTTGGTACTTGTTCGTCCTCTGTAATGTCGCTAAACAGAACGTGCAACATCTTCGCAGTTGCTTTTAAATCTGTTTCAGTGCCTCAGCTGGAATGTTTTTTCCAGAGAACTTGTTGGACCATATAGTTGTCTGACGTTTCCTTCTCTTTCAGCCTTTTCCATCGTCATTGCTAGATCTTTCACAAATTCACGTTTGTATTCCTTCATGCTTCGCTTTATTCGGTTGTTTGCTTCTGTATATTCGTCCTGTGCCTTGACTGTTTCTGCTCTGATTGCCATCCTCCTATTCTTTCCCTGGGTCAGATCTAAAGCATTAACAGAAATCCATTCCTTGCAATGTTACTTCGTGTGGCCCAAACATGTTCAAGTGTTTCCGTGTTTGATTCCACTCTAGTTTTTTCCCCACGATAGTTTCCTCTTCATTGAGCGGTCGTGGAAAGCCTGAAACTTGCTGCTCAGAGCTATCTTGAATTCGTTGAATTTTTCCAGTATCCCGAAGAAGGCTCGTAGTAAACTTTTGTGAAACTATTCATGTCGGTAATTGTCAACTACCTGGTTGGGGTCCACGAAACCATAATAATCGATGGTTAGAGACCTTGAATGACATGGCTCAAAACCGTCTACAATGGCGCCAGTGCATTTATTCTTTGTGTTCTCTCAACTCCTAATCTTCTGGATTCTTCAACCCCTCCAGTTTTGTCTTTCTAAACTTATCTCATTGAACCATACTTCTTGAATAATATCTTCTAATCCTAATCTCTCCGATTACTTCTAATACCTTTACTTCTCTTCTACTATTGGATTTGAATTGACAATTACATCTCTGTGCTGATGTGGAATGACAACATGAACTGATGTACTTACGTACGAAGTTCTACGTTGCATCTGACTGACTAACTGACATCCGGTGAAATTCATATAGCTTAGTGTGGGAATATAGTGCCGTCTATGAAAAGTTCGTTGAACGCACTCTCCGTATGTAGCCTTTCTAGGATTACTGTCTTTCCAAAAGTCGGATAAAGGGGGAGGGTTGGAGATGGGGCTAGTGACCCTATCCAGTAGAAAACCAACTCGCTAAAAAAAAATTCTATTAAGAAGCATCAAAAATAGTCATTAGTTAATAGCAGGACATATTATTACACAAATCAACGCTTCAACAGTTTTAAATAAAGAAAATGTTTTATTTATACGAAACGATATACACAACATACCAAATGAGCAGCTGGTGAATCTTCAGTTGCATTTTTATGGACTGCTTTATATGTTGAAAAAAAAGTGGAAGAGTAAAATATACAATGATTATCCTACAATTTTCAATCGATCACATATGAAACAAACAACCTTTATATGTGTTGTAGTTGTGCTGGCGATGATCGTTACACACTTTCTAAATAAGTCAGTCAAATCCTCAAGACGTTTAAAAAATGAGTAGAAATAAACATTCAATAGCTGATGTGAGAAATATCACAAACCGATATTTCATTGAATCATAAATCCCATATAATTTATGTTAGTGGGACATAGATGGAATTAAAGCATGGCTACGTTGCTGCGCGCTGATTGGCTAATTTCCTATCCAATCAGCGCCTGATCGAATCTTGGAGAACAGGGTAGAAGATTCTCGTATTGTTAGCTGCGTGCTGATTGGTTAAATCTAATCCAGTCGATCGCGTGAATTTCTATTCAGAAGCTTCTCATGTAAATGCCATAAATATACTAACATTGTATCTATTTTCGCCTTGTTGCCTTCGCCATCACCTTTGGCTTGTTATTTCCATTTAACCTTGCTATTTGGAATATAATCTTTCCTGTTCAACCGTGTTTTTGATTCTTGGGAACTTGTCCAGTAGTGTATTGTGGTCAGAGAATACTAAGCAATAGGATTTAGCTGGGAATTATCTAAGTAAGCGTTACAACAATTTATGGAAAAATTTGTAATGAGCAGGTTTCCATACTAATCAAGCTATTTCGGCACCTTTAGGGTTCTACACTGTGAGATTAAGGTAGGTTGAGAAACTGTATAACTGGAAGCAGCAAATCCGAGTGTGCGGAGGTGGTATTTTCTGACTATTGAAGTGTAATGATCAATCAAGTGTTTACATCAGACATGAAGTACCCGAAAACATCATGCCATCTTAAAACGGGAGGTGGAGTTAAGAAATGGCAGATAGTATTGATAATGCACCATACCTTGACTTATTGACAGCTGAGTCTGATGGGAAAGCTTGTCAACTATGAAAACAATATGTATCAAAACTGTACATAGGAACGAGGAATGTAACAGTCATTTGACAGTTTGCAGCTTTTTAGGCGACTGTTTTATTAAAGCGCATACTGGACAGAATTTTTGGGCCGTAAATTTACATTTACACCACTATTATTAACACCACGGTAGATACAAATTCAGGTAAAAGGGACCAAGAAACAGAACGCAGCACATAAAGTCGAAAATTAAAGGACCGTCAAAACTTTCATAAACTTAAGGGTTTGGACGAGCAATACGAAGTCTCGAATATCTGGGTGTAGCTGAGAATTGGGAAAGTTCGCTCAGTTTGTGTCGGAACGCTCTCATTCAGCTAAGCTTGTTTATGCACTCCCAAAGAAGTTCTGTTTGCTGCCTTTTAGTCGTGCGGGTGCTATTTACAAAATCGAGTGCAATAAATGTGGCCAATACATATTTAGTACAGAGATAATATGTGACTGGAACAGAATGATAGCAATGCTGCCGCCACCACAGTCTATTTTTTTGCAAGTTTCGAACACTTGAGTAGTACTGACGAAAGTCAGTAATTTACGGATTTGTCTTGACAATGTTATTTTGCTGCCTTGATACAGTGTGGCATTTTGGATTGATGTTTCTTAGGACTAGTGAATTGAAAATAATTATCAGAACAGACATTATAAAGAAGCTAGTACAAATGGATGTGATAATTTAAGCTAAGCCGTTTGAAAAATGAACCAAGTGACGAATACCATTTTCGAAATAACTACCTTTCTCTACATGATATTGAATATGTACTTACCACCAAAGAGTAGAACGCTCAGATTTGTGATGCTGAAATTTAAGAAAAAAACAGGGAAATATTAGGAACAAGAAATGACAACGAATTGAGGAACTGTTTACTAATTCCGATAAAACTGAAGTATATTATGCCGGCGAATATAATCAATATACTTCCAATCAAATACTAGGAGTCTGTTAATTGATAGACTGTTCCTAATAAATGTTACTTTTCACTTTAAATGAAGCAATGAAACTAGCCTTTTATGTCATACAAACTCATTTACAAGTTTCTATAAAACACAATGCCTAGAGAAACTATGCTCATGTTCTCGTCTCATTGCGTGATGATACTCATAATATAACATTTTATGTCACGATTGAATCATATGGAACAGGGTTGTACACGAATGCATTTTGTCGGCTCATCGCCATCCATCAGTCAGGGTCCCACAAAGATTCTACAACTCAGTGGATTGAGATTTTATGTAGACATTCCTCAATACAGAATTCAATGACAATCCTGTTGTAATTTCCTCTTTCATTCTCCGTAAAAGTGGATGGAACCAACCAAACAAAACGAAGGCTTTGTAGTATTATTTTTACCTACCGTAAACATATTACTTAATGATGTCAAATGAGCAATCAAGAGCATTTGCGATAACCTGATCCACTGAAATGTGGCATGTTTTATGTGGCACATGACTGACTAGTTCGAAGCTTGAGGATGAAGTGTTTAAAAGAATGGTATATAGCTTCTGTTTGGTAAGTTTGACTCATTGTTGACGTAACAAAGAGTTTTTAATGACAGTATTACCAAATGTCATGGTACGAGCGCGCTCTTCCTGTCAAAATGCACTCATATGTCTACGCACAAATAGTCACTGCTAGAGAAGTCCTATTCACTGTCTTCTTGTGGCATGGGTGTTATTTACAAAACTGAAGATGAATGACAAGCAAATGTTCGACGCTTAAGAATTGTGAAATGAATAGCATACAAACTTGGTCTAGTTAGCCATAACTAGAGAACTAAAAATCTTGAATTTGCTCTGATAGTTTTGTGAACAAAACCTCTTGCCCTCAACGAAATAAATTGATGTTGAATATCAACAATTAATGCGAATTACTCATGTTTTATTAGTTCTATAAACTGTTTTATGAGAAATGAAGAATAGTTTTGACAATACAATACAAATAAACGAACAACATTATTTTATTTTCAATGTTTGGTTTAACTTACGGAGTTTGTTCTCCTGGTTGTTCAGAAGTAATTTTTTCCATAATATGCTTGAATAACATTTGACAAAGAAAAGCAAGAATGATAATGATCATGATGAAGCATTCTATTTATTTAGGTACAGTTTAATTTGTAATGCAACACAGCCATACAGACACACAGTATCACAGGCCAATAAAGTAATTTTATACAGACAAACTGAGAGACAGACAGGCAGGTACAACGCAGAACTTCGTACGTAAGTATATCAGTTCACCTTGCCATACCGCACATAAGCACAGAGATGCTGTGGGGTCCATTTATCTGCGTGTTCGGATAGCTCGGTAATTAGCTCGTCTAGATAATCGTCACTAGGTAGCGTCTGACGGTTTATAGAATCAGAAGGCGAATTCGAAGTATTATGAAATACGTTTATATTTTGGACACACCACATAGCGCAGTTGGAAAGCAGCGAAAGAATGAGCGAAGGGAGCGAAAGAATAGGCGAAGCGCAATGGAGAAGGCCAAGAGCCAACTCAAAGAAATAGAGCATGACTAAGAATATATAGTCAGACAAAAATAAGGCAGACAAGCGACAAGCGAAATAGGCGCACATGAACAAAGCGACGAATGATTGACAAAGTCAAATAACACGTCATGTGAGCTCAGATAAACCTGACAATAATAATTACGAATGGTACATATAAGTTGTCGCTACGCAAATGGCTTGGTTAAATAAATTAACCGAAAGGGCTTAATCAAATTAAATGTAAGCGAACTCGGATATATGTGGAGGCACTACAATGCGACTGTCAGTTCAAATCCAAGAGTGGTAGCGATAGTAGTAGAAGTATTAATTAGCAGTGATGCAGAAGATTAGGGAGTGAAGATATGATTTGAGAAGTATAATTCAGTGAGATAACTTTAAAAAGAGAAAGATAGAGATGATGAGGAATTCAGAAGGTTAGAATTACACAGAACACCCGCGCCATTGCAAAAAATTCTGAGCCATAATAAAAAAAATTATAAAATAAATAATTTTATAACACAAACGACATGCATAATTTAAATAAAAATTATCTACATGTCTGAACACATACCTTCGGTACACCGATCACTTTCAATTGAGACAATAACCAAAAGTCATGAGGAAATGTAATATTCTAAAAATGAAAAAAATATATAAAAATATAACAGCAAAATGAAATAACTAACAATGAGAAGATTATTAGAGTAAGAAGATGGTTGAGCGGATCACATAATGCATAACCCGCTGTAATTGAATGTGTGTTGACTGTTTCACTTATCCAATTGAAATCATCAATCAATCATTGTTGGATCACCATTAGAAACTTCGAAGCACTGGACGGCCGTTTCGTCCTGGTATGGGACTCATACCGCAGCAGTGCGCATCCACGACTCCTGCTCCTCGCAGGATTCGAACCCGGGACCTTTGGCATTGTAGGCGAACGCCTTAACATAGGACCACTGGGTCGGCATCCAACGGTGTTAATGTCTAACTCTGATTGATCTAGGGATTTTGCGCGACTTCACCCATTTGTCTTTGGTAGTTACTGCCTACACCCGACAGGGTTGAACTCCATTGGCCACGTCTTCTCAACTAGAACTCACTTATCTCAAGTGTATTCACACTGGATGCAAAACGATAGATGATAAATTAAACTACTAATTAACAGAATTTCATGGTAAAATTATGAGAATTTCAATTATCCAATTGTATGATAGCGGTGTGGTGCTGTGGTGCGAGCTACTTATAAGTAGTGGTATATGACGTGAGCGTCAACGTAATGTCTGGCAGCAGAAGATGGGGGAAGATCAAGAAAGGAAGAGTTCGAAAACAATGGAATTTGTATGAAACGCATGAATAGTGACAATGGATTGATTTTTTGCAACAGCAACAGTCCAGTTCGATATGATGGATTGATATTTTGCAAATGAACGATTTACGATATGGTTTTCCAATTTTACTGAGTAACTCTGTAATTTTCGTTAAATACAATTCGGTTGCCCACCTGTGTTCTCTTTCACTACAATACTACTGGTCTAAATGACTGATTTATTTACATAGGAAAAAAAAACAGGAAGATTTACTAAGATGCCCATGTAGACTGTAGTTTCCTCCTGCATACTTGGATTTAAATATTTCACTAGTTGACTTACTCTTCCAGTTTTATCAACCAATTTGGTGCAAATATATGTATAGAAGCGCGATGGCTTTCATGTGAGACAGAAGACTTTGGAACTGCCATCAAGCGAGCGCAACATTCAAGCAGTTCCCTTGATTTATAACAGTACATTGAAAAAAACTAAAAAAAACTGCGGAAAATTAAGTTTTTTTTTCTAGTTTTAAGTATTTACGACCAACATAACAAAAAATTATACAAAGGTGTAGCTATCAACAAACTAACCAAAGAATATATTTTTCACTCACCTGTTGAGCGCATACATCAGCTACAAGTTGAATGACAGTAGTTTTTGGAATACCATGAAAAGATCGTACGTTGACTAATAATAAAGCTTCAAAAATCTGTACGAAAAGTGAACGTAATGCACGTTTTGTCAGTGTTTGATTTAAAATGCTGAAAATGTCATACATGACAGCTGACTTGGTTGTATTGGCGATTTCTGCCACATCCGAAACAGATATAATGCTTGTTAACTGAAATTTTAAAGAAAATGAAATCAACATCGAAGCTCAATAATAGAAACTGAATAATGAACAGATTAAAGTGGTAACCTTTATGTATGAATGTGAACATAGTAAACATTGAAGCAACTCAAAGAAATCGGTTAAATTCTTCACCGATTCCTAACAATAAATACCTCGGTGCAATTATTGTTTTGCCGGACATGTCGAAATGTGTTCACCAACTAGGCAGTCAGTTAGTTAGGCTAAACGCAACATAGGACAAGCACAGGAATATAACGGCTGACGTTGCCATACTGCAATAATATGGCGAGATTTCATAGCAAAGACCAGAATAAAATATGTGGTAACTGTAGTAGGGAAAACAACAGAAATCGGACTTTTTCCGAATAAATTTACAGCTATCATGATACTACGAGTGCTATTCAAACTGACTACTTCAACATATCTACAACGGATGCGGACCGGACAATAGAAGTTTGAGTTTTTCACTTACATGAGAAAGCCTTATTCAAATAAGAAAACGATGTCAACCCTTATCATCGCTCAAATTTAAACACATTATAGATTGAACGTAATTATAGGGGAATATAAAAATACCCGATAAATGATCTGGAGAAATAGCATTTGACAGTTGATTTAATGCTAAGCATATACATTCCCGTGTGCAAAGGGAGAAGTAAATTCTTGCCTTATGAGGACTCATTCGACACAGCGGACAGATAATGGCAACCACCAGCGAAAGCCCTGTGTATACAACAACCAACTTCTAACCATCACCACATTGTGTCATCGACATCATCAACATGCTTGCTAACTAGAAAACACAACCTTTGACTCAAGCATGCACCCAAACTGACCACCTTGTAATCAGCTACCGTTGACCTGCTTGTGTACAGACTTTTCGCAACTAATACAGTATCCAACTGGACTCAAATCATACAAAGACTCGTACCAATCTTATTCTAGTTATTAGAGGCCAGAAAACGCTCCCCTCTAAACCGATTGATTTGAGCAAAATGATTGTGACCTAGAGTTGCAATCAAGTGTGTAAACACGTCGTTTAACATTGATGGACAGTTCACTGGAGTGTGTTTATCTGAAATCCTATTCATTGAGACTTCACTAAACTTACATGCATAGACTTTACTTCTAATTCACTAAATTGATTCCATTCTAAGCCATGATTAAAAAATTAAACTAAAAACTTGTAGATAAGAAAAAGTAGGTAGGAAATTCGTGGAAGATGTGAGTAAAAGAGAATGGAAATTAATTGGTTCTCACACACGATGCCTAGAGAGGATCACTGAAACCAGTGATAAGAAGTTGGCGAAAAACAAGCCTATATGCATTACATTTCATCAGATAACCCTTTAATCAAAGAAAACAAATATGGTAGTTGAATATTGTTGGGGATGTTAGATAAACCCAGAGCTCGCTTGATAAATGCCTTATTTTGAATTTTACGTTCCCTAGCGTGGGTTGATCAGTTGACCTTTAGATTTCATTTCCCACCACCAAAATCCATGGCTGTGATTGGCTGCTGTGTATTTTAGTGTGCTATTTTCGTAATTGTCTCAAGTACGTTTCTATGATGTATAAATAAACGAGAATTGTGTGTTTGATTGTGGATTGTGTGTTTGCTGGGTGTTTGTAGCCTATACTTTCCACGCTTACCAAGACTTCTGTTTACAGCTTTGGATTCAAAGTAGCCTATCTGGACGCTGGTTCATTGTCTCGTTCACGTTTATCGACTAAGGTGAACTCGTAATAGCTTCAAGCGTACTACCTACTGATGAACCCTACAAATATTAAGACTTGAAGTAAAGAATTTACACTTAATGAAATAAACAATATGATTCAAAGTTGTTTGTAATAGCACAGGTACATTCACTTCTTGTGTTGTTTTAAACTTCGAATCTTCTGAATTCCTCTTACTCCTTCTCAGCATCATCATCATCATCTCTATCATTCACTTTGTAAATTTATTTCAACTAGACTGAGATACATGTACATACGAGAAGTTGTGTTCTACGTTGTAAATGACTGACCGACTGACTGGAAATGTAAAATACAATTTGTCCAAGTTAACACACACATGGAGTACAATGTAATGTCTCTCTCCAGATATGTTCAGTCAAACAGTTAAACAATCACAATAAAATTAATTAAAATATATATATATATATAAAAGTATAATAAAATTAATAATTTACCAATTTCACAACATGAGCATTGCCTAAACGTATCATATCATTATATGGTAATAATTGATCAGTACGATATTTATTAATTAATTCTAAACAATTATTTAATATGGATTTTACATTATCAGTTGATTGTATTGATGATAAATTATGAAGGATGTAACCAAATACTAAAGCTTTTTTAATTTCAATATCCTACAAAAAGGAGAAAAGACAATACATAAAAACAAGGATTAATTTTAATATTATACATATAATATAAATATCATGAACTCACAGTGTAGATGAAGTGGTGAAAATTCATCAGTTGAAGTGGTTGGGACATGTGTTACGTATGTCTAACCACCGACTGCCTCGACGAGCTATATTTTGTGGTGTAGGAATAGGTTGGAAAAAAGCTAGAGGCGGCCAAACCAAAACATGGCACAAATCCATGAAGTCATTGACAAGTGGACTGAGTCATGTTGGTAGATGTAGACTACCTGGTTGGGGGGTCCGCGAGACGTAAGTCACCAATGGTTAGAGACCTTGAGTGACATGGCTCAGAATCGTTTGTAATGGTGCAAGTGCATCCATTCTTTGAGCTCTCTCAAATCCTAATCTTCTGGATTCGTCAGCACCTCTACCTTTGTCTTTCTAACCTTATCTCACTGAATTATACTTCTTGAATAATAATATCTTCAAACCCTAGTCTTCTTCATTACCATTAATACCTCTACACTATCTTTATCACTATGGGACTGATGAACTCACAGTCCGAATGTTACTACATTGAAATTGAATTCGAACATAAAAGCTTAATTCAAATTGAATTACTAAAGAAAGTCAGTAATATATTAAAATGAATGATGTGACAGTGAAGAAATTTTTATTTCCGACGACATTATTATCAGATATACAATTGTATTAATTATTTATAAGTAATCTTTCACATAGTAATCGATAGCAAAATAGAAGCTTTTCACACAGTTATTAACGACAGTCAAAATTATTCAGTAGGCAATTTTCTTGGTAGAGAGTCGGACGAAGATAATTTTGTATCTAAAAGCATATCTACGAAAAAATTAAACAAGAATGGGGAAAGTGGACATCCCTGACGCACACCGCTTGATGTATAGAATTCCGATGACAGTTCGCCATAAGCTCTCACTCGACCAGTGGTGTTTGAGTAGAGAGCTTGTATAAGGTTACTGTACTTCTTTGGTACACCTTTCAATGACAGACACTGCCACAGAACCTCACGATCCACAGAGTCGAATGCCGCCTTAAGGTCCAGGAACACAACTATTGTAGAACGCTCAAATGTGAGTTCCAGGACCCGTCGTAGTGTGAAAATGTGGTCTATACATCGGCGTCCAGGTCTGAAACCTTTTCATAGGTGAGTAGTTTACTCACTGTGTATAAAGACCATGCATTGATTGGAATAAAAAACACCACACTCTTATATGATATGAACATCCTCCACATTACATGCAAATACACATAATCACAACTTTTATTGAAGCAAATTCAAAAATTGAGGAAAAGTGTAAATTTATACGATTGGCAAGGTTCGGTATGTGTAGACACAGATCTATACGTACAATTCACTAGATCTTCGAGTAATTAACTCGATCATCGTTGTCCCCGAAGCATTGCTCGTGTATTCTTGGACAACCGACTAAGCGATGCTATCGTAAGGAAACGAGTTCTAGGTAAGGATGGCAAATCAATAGATGAAGTAATGAAACTTCATCAGTTGAGGTCGTTGAGACATGTGTTACGAATGCCTAACCAGCGACTACCGTGATGAGTTATGTTTTGTGGTGTAGGAGTAGATTGGAAGAAAGTTAGGGGCGGCCAAACCAAAATATGGCAGAAATGCCTGAAGTCACTGACAAGTGGACTGAGTCATGTTAGTAGATGTAGGCTACCTGGTTGGGGTCCGCGTGACGATAGTCACCAATGGTTAGAGACCTTGAACGACATGGCTCAGAATCGTTTGCAATGGTGCAGATGCATCCACTCTTTGTGTCCTCTCAAATTCTAACCTTCTGCATTCCTCATAATCTCTATCTTTCTCCTAAATTTATCTTACTGAATTATACTTCTCGAATCATATTTTCGCTCCCTAATCTTCTCCATTACTGCTAATACTTCTACTATTGCTATCACTCTTGGATTTGAACTAACAGTTACATCTCTGTACTGACGTGGTATGGCAACCTGAACTGATGTACTTATGTACAAAGTTCTGCGTTGTGTCTATCTATCTGTCTGTCTGTCTATCGGGTAATTAACAAGTTTTTTTCACTTCTTCACATAAACATTGTCACATTGACAGTGGTAATAATAGATAGATAATATAACAACTTGAAAAAAAATCTCAAATAACACATCAATACTTTGAATTTACTCATCACAAATAAACTAACTGATCACAAATACTGATTTTACACTTTGTAAAACAAAAGAAAAAACGGTAGCACATTGTTACTATTTCATAACCAGCTAGCTCAATGGTTTTGCTAACAACACTGAAAAGTTAAAATATAGATTGATTTTGACACATATACAAATATAAAAAAACAGTAAAAAACTCGTTGAATGAACGAACATATCAATAGACTATATAAATAATATATGTAAGAGAAATACCTCAGTTTGTTCAATTAAATTATCTATAGAATAGCCCAAGTGGATTAATTTTGGTAGAATAAATGAATACGCTAATGAAATGTTTGTTTTTGATAGATTTTTCAATAAATTAAGACCACCTAAAATGAATAAATGAATGTAGGAAATAATAATTGTCAGTTTGATCAGGACAAGTTAAGTTACATTGATATATCTAACGAAAGCTCAGTAAGAATTTAGAAAACATACGTAACACATTATTAGGTGAGATTTTACCGGTTGGACAAGTTTGCCATGTATTAGTTTTTTTCAAAGAAGACAGACACACAAAGGAATTTTTGAACCATCGATCGACTAATTTCAAAAACTTAGGGAACGGTTGAGTTTTGCAAATCCTACTTGATAGAGTCTTAAAAATCTACCAATTAGGTTTAAGCTCGCTTTTCATTCTCTCATGAAAAGCAAAAGATCCCCGTCACAGCAAGGTTATGGGTGGAACTTCCCGGATAGAAGTTATATACCATCCCTTTACACGCTTCATCCTCCAACTTCGAGCTAGACAGTCATGTGCCACATGAAACATACCACATTTCAGTGGGTCGAGTTGTTGTTGCATATGCTTTTGTGACAACTCATTTGACAAGGTAAATATAATACTACAAAGCCTTCGTTTAGTTTGGTTGGTTCCATCCACTTTCATGGAGAATGAAAGAGGAAATTACAACAGGATTGTCATTGAATTCTGTATTGAGGAATGTCTACATAAAATCTCAACCCACTGAGTTGTAGAATCTTTGTGGGACCCTGACTGATGGATGGCGATGAGCCAACAAAATACAGTCGTGTATAACCTTCTTCTTCCACATCATTCAGTCGTGACATAAAATGTTATAGTTTGAGTATCATCACGCAGTGAGATACTATCATCGATATTTTTAAGATTCAAAAGACTTTCTTTGAGAATTAGCTCTATCAGATCTATTATCAGAAAATCATTGATGATAAACATGGAGTAGAATAATGAAAAGCAAAGCTCACTGTAGGAAAGAAATGAAGGAGGGTGGTTGTTTGAGTACTTCATGTGCCTTAGTGAACATTTAAAAAGCGTTGCAAGTTGCAATGAACATGAATAAACACACTCCACTAAACTGTCCATCAATGTTAAACTACATGTTTTCACACCTGATTGCAACGTAGGCCACAATCATTTTGCTCAAATCAATCGGTTTAGAGAGGAGCGTTTGCTGGCCTCCGATAACTAGAATAAGATTGGTACGAGTCTGTGAATGATTTGATTCCAGTTGGATACTAATCAACGATAGCTGATTACGAGGTGATCAGTTTGGGTGCATGCTTGAGTCTAAGATGGTGTTTTTTAGTTAGCAAGCATGTTGATGATGTCTATGCCACAATGTGGTGAGAAGTCGGTTGTTGTATACACAAAGCTTTCGTTGGTGGTTTCCATTATCTGTGCTGTGTCGAATGAGTTATATCTGGGCAACATCACTGATGAGCGAGGTGGATCTGATGCACATGCGAAAGAATGGATCGGCAAAGAAAAGACAGCATTTCTACAATCGAACAACACCTAGAACTCAAAGCAATTATCAACAACAACCAAAGTCACAATTTTCAATACGAATTTCAAGACAGTTCTACTGTATGGGATGGAAACGTGGAGAACCACGAAATTCATCATCCACAAGATATGCGTTTATTAACAGTTGTTTACGCAAGAAACTGAGTATCCGCTGGTCAGAAACAATATATCGTTCGAGAGAACAGACTAGATTCTAGGTGAGGAATAAATTAGGAAACAGCGCTCAAGATGGATGGGATATACTAAGTAGAACACCCAACTAACTGCGTCACAAGATAAGCCCATCATCAAGGTCAAAGGAAAAGAGGAAGGCCAATGAACAAGTTAGGTCCAGAAGTGGAGACAGACATGAGAAGTATGAACTAAAATTGGATAGAAATGAAAAGGGAGGCCCACGATAGAGTAGGTTGTAGAATATTGGTCGGTGGGGTAACAGGCGTAGGTAAGTCAAGAATTTACTCTTCCCTGTGTTTAGACAAAGACTTTGTGTGACATAGCTTCGGATATTTTAAACTTATTTTTCGACTTTTCACATGGTTGACTTATGATTTTTTTTGGATATGTGTATTTTACGTAGATTGCATGGATATTACCATTCAGTCACACACACTCAAAGTAAACTTAAAAGATGGCTTAGAATCGTTCACACTGTTGAACTCTTCCTTTATTCTTTTACATAGTAACCTTACTACTTTATCTTTTCGAAGTAATTTCCAAACTTATTTCTTTTTATTATCCTTGCTATGACATATAATGCTGATGTATTTTAATATTTTTCTTGTAAACTCCATCTAGTCGTACTAATTATTATGATGATATGACAACCTGATCCAACACACATATATATCTGTTCAAAACTCTAAGTTGATAAAGATTGACTAATTCAAAAACAATCATAATACCAGACCGTAGCTGCTACCCTGACGTGATGGTCGGGCTTGCCTATCGTGATCACCCAGCTGAGATATATCGGCTGCAACATATGTTCCTGTAGGTTCGTTCTACCGTGCCCACCAGATAGGTAGATTGCAGAACGATCAGACTAAAAGCAGCTACTCAAGGTCTGAGGGCGAAGTCGTACTGCTGACTGACTGTAGAAAGGTGTAACAGCAGTAAGGTGTTTCCCTCGGACAACCAGCATCTGCAGCGATGCTGCCTTCTTTCTCACAAGGAACGAAGGGTTAGAAAAGGTCGACCCTAAAAATGTCACACCTCACCCTACCTCACGGATTTCCGTCTCCGTCGGTAAGGATGCCCACTAAGGGCTTTCAAGAGCGGAGCTAATACTCAAAAAACCTTTCATAAAAAGGCCGTACGTGACCGGCCTCAAGCAGTTGTACCTTGGGCTCTGCGGTCACGCTCCCAGGTCGTTAAGACTAACAGTAATCTATCTTCCTTTTCAGGTTCGTCAAGAAACAACCTTCCACGGTGTGGGCAGCAGGGAAGTGACAACCGCCCTCATACCCGTAACAGCACTATTAACTCTCTTATAATATAACCTGAATTATATGAACATAGCAAATAACTTATAACACTGAATGATCAGTGTATTTTAATTATGGCTAAGTTTTAACAAAATTAATTTAATTATATCAGTTCATTTTAAATAATTTTATGACTGTATGATCAATAACTCACCTTCTATATTGTTTTCATTTAAACAAGACTGAAATTGATTACCCAATTCATTGGTTTTGCCAGTTCGATTGAATTCTAAATAAAGAGAGAGATGAATAGATAAACTGGCAATATTACTCTAGAATTAATTTTTCTGAGGTGAGATGTTGCATAAATGATATAAAGTTTACTTTGATAATTGATGATAAGAAGTGTATATTTCGATTTCTAATCTTCTGGATTCGTCAGCACCTCTACCTTTGTCTTTCTAACCTTATCTCACTGAATTATACTTCTTGAATAATATCTTCAAACCCTAGTCTTCTTCTTCATTAGCATTAATACCTCTACTATCTTTATCACTATGGGATTTGATTTCACAGTTGCATCTCTGTGCTAATGTGGTATGGCAACATGAACTTATGTACATACGTACGAAGTTCTACGTTGCAACTGACTGACTGACTGACATTTCAATATATAATCACAATGGTGAAGTTGAACAAGCATTTTGAAATAGATTACCATTACTATTACTATCTTTTAAGAATTCTTATATTAACCTACGCACATGACGATCTTAGAAACCATCTGTTAAAAAAAATATTTGTATACATACACATAAAGATGATGATAGCCAGACAGACAGAGATACAACGCAGAACTTCGTATGTAAGTACATCAGTTCAAGTTGCCATACCACATCAGCACAGAGATGCAACTCTAAGTTCAAATCCAAGAGTGATAGTAGAAGTATTAGCAGTAATAGAGAAGATTAGGAAGCGAAGATATAATTCGAAAAGTATAATTCAGTGAGATAAATTTAGAAGGAGAAAGATAGAGATGATGAGAAATTCAGAAGGTTAGAATTAGAGAGAACACAGACAGTGGATGCACCTGCGCCACTGCAAACGATTCTGAGCTATGTCATTCACGGTCTCTAACCATCGGTGACCTTCATCTCGCGGACCCCAACCTAGTAGCCTACATCTACCAACATGACTCAGTCCACTTGTCAGTGACTTCAGGCATTTCTGCCATATTTTGGCTTGGTCGCCTCTAGCTTTCTTCCAACCTACTCCTACACCACAAAATATAGCTCGTCGTGTCAATCGGTGGTTAGGCATAAATGATGATAGCCAAGATGAAGGTAACATAAAATGTAAACCTTCAGAAAACAAACGGTGTAAATGTCCTAATGGTGTTTGTAACTAAGACAAAAGGATCTATATTGTCGGTACGTCGATGGCACATTCATCATTGCAGACCAAGACATCAGCAAAGAAAAACTCCTGGAACAATTCAATAGTATACACCCGGCAATCACTTTCACAAGTGGAGTACGATAATAAGCTGACCTTCCTTGACGTCACACAAAGTAGACGAAGTAATGACTCGCTAAGTAGAAGCGTGCATAGAAAAAATCCTGCTGCTTGTCAATACACTCACTTTTGTAGTTTTACACCTATCCGCCACAGAAGAAACTTGGTTAGATGTCGCACTAGCAGAGCAAAAATGATCTGTTCTATGGATACTTTAAGTCAGGAGCTGCAATTTATCAACAACTCACTGACCGAGATCGGCTACCCTAGCACATTCATAAGGAAGTATATGGTTGATGTAAATAAGAAGTCAGTAATTTCGACTGTCCGAAAGAAGTCACTATTTATCAAATTACAATTCAACGGAGATTTGGCATGCGACACCCTGCAGGACAAATTAATGAGAGCAATTAATAGAACATTCAATGCAGCCAAACTTGCATTGACATTCTCAAGTCGACCAGCGATGTCTACCCAAACGAAGGATAAGTTATCTGAGCTGGCCTCCTCTATGTGCATTTACAAATTCAGCTGCTCCTGTGGAGATAGCTATGTCGGGCGTAATACCAGGCAACTTAACCAACGAACGAGTGAACATCTGATATGATATAAATCATATGAGCGTGATACGCTTCACATTGAGTGAACATCTCCTAGCATGGTTTAAGAAGGGTCAGTCAAAAATAATACTCAGTTGGATCTTAGCACACCTGGTTGATAGTGGTCATATTGTAGATAAGTCTAGATCTTTTCGAGTGATCTATCGTAAACCTCAATCATTTCCCAACGGAGTTCGATCCCGTCTCCTACATATAGCAGAAGCCATAGAAATTCGTACATTCAACCCCAATTTATGTGTTCAGAAGAAATTCGTGACACCACTACCTCTTCCGTGGCCGAATATGACGTAACTAACGATTGACATTATATTTTTTATCTTATTTTATTTTTTATTTTTAAATATTTGCTTATTACGTAATGGTTTTGATGTTTTTAATGTTTATTTGAAGTCATCCACCTTTGACCTACTATTGATAAAACTTGAGTTATCATATTTTATAATTTTCTTACTACTAACATTACACCTCTGTCTTCCTACAATCAACTTGTACTTTTGCCTATTAGAGGTGTAGTGACGTAATCTCTATTTCATTTCATTGTGATGATTGACTCACAAATTACCTTGATTGGTTTAACATTTTCATACATAAATATTCATGTATATTAGAGTAGAGGCCTGATGACGATCTAATCGAAAACAATATTGTTCACTTCTATGTGTTGTTCTAATTTTCACAATGGGAATCTTTAATAATCTTAAAAAAATAATGTTTTATGAAGTACGATGAATGCATAGCTTTACAGTTCTATTTTTTTTTATCACACTGCGAAAATTTACTAAAAATACATCAAAAGAAAAATATACAGAGTAAAAGCAGTAATCAGTAAACGGAGCAGTCATGTGTCAATATAAGAATTGGAAAGATTTCTAATCGATTAATCGAAACTATGCTAAGGTTGGTGCAAAACATTACACATACAACACAGAAGCACGGATACAGAAGGCTCGATTGGCTTTTATCGACTTGTGTCACTTATGGCGTAGGCATGATATTCGTTTGCTATTGCGCAGCAGTTTACTCCATTTTACTTTATGGCTTGTTTTTGATCATAGGTGTCTCCGAAGAATTGTTCGTTTATCTTAGGACTATTAAGTAAAGTATACTGTTGTTAGGAAACGGGTAATTAGGTAAAGATGGCAGATCAATAGATGAAATATTGCAATACCATCAGTTGAGATGGTTGGGATATGTGTTACGTATAACCAGGCACCGACTGTCTCGACGAGTTATGTTTTGTGATGTAGGAATAGGTTGGAGGAAAGCTAGGGGCGGCCAAACAAAAACATGGCAAAAATCCATAAAGTCACTGACAAGTGGACCGGGACACGTCAACAAATGTAGACTACTTGGTTACGGTCTGCCAGACGATAGCAGCCGATGGTTGGAGACTTTGAATGACATGGCTCAAAATCGTTTGCGATGGCGCAGATGCATCGACTCTTTGTGTTCTTTCAAACTATAATCTCCTGAATTCCTCATCACCTTTATTTATCTGTTTCTAAATTTATTTCACTGAATTACACTTAAAAAACTTCTTTGAACCCTAATTTTCTTCATTACTGCTCATACTTCTACAATCTCTACTGCTATGGGATTCGAACTTACAATTGCGTCTATTTGCTAATACGGTATGGAAACCTGGACTGATGTACGTACGTACGTACGAAGTCCTACGTTGTAACTGACTGACTGACTGACTTTACAAGGCTTACTAACAAAGACACATGAATCAGAAATAATGACAAAGATTAATGAGGATGTATAGACAATTAGGCAGATGATTGCATCTATTTAGTTGAATGGAGTTCGATATGGTCATATTGATATAGATATATAGATATACAAATTATATACTACTTACGTAATTTACATTTATTTCTAAGTATAAGCAGTTCTTTACTGTCCAAATCAGCTGCTTCCCAGAAAGGTTCTAATGCTTTTGGAGTCTGGTAAAACAAGGCATAAATGGGATGGAAATATAAATACCGAGTATTAAGTAGAGTGTTGAAAAAAAATAGTGGCCAAGAACTTTTGTTATTATTGCACAGACAAATTATGGACGACAACAAAATGACGTAACACAGAGAGATACTTACAGGAAAACTGTTGACAACCCTGATAAGAATATCAGATAGATGATGATTGAGAACAAACAGGAAATATTCTGCAAAAATAACTTATCAGGATTTCAAAACCACCAACAGAAGAACACATACAACTACTTAGTCTACTTCGAAAAATTTTTTAACAAAGAAAACATCACTTATAAAAAAGGATTAAGTCACAATTAAACTGATACTCCAAATCTATAACTTATCTTTGTTGCACTAGTCATCACTCAAAAAACAAGGGATAAGTAATGTATCTAGCACAATGAGAGGAAAACAGTATTCAACCGACAGCAAAAGAGAAATTAAAAACAGAGATATAGTGCTAACTAAATTCATAAAAGACGCACTACAGTAAGTACGGACCACATAAACCAAACGTCTAACTTCACCCAACCAAATTACTCCGTGAAGACGTAACATACCAGTTGATTAGAAGGATTTTTAAGAATATCGAAGCATCAGATCACTCCGTAAAATCTCCCATACAATGCTCAGATAAAACTTGGGAGGTTCAAATCAATAACGACGAACTAACAAGGTTCTTCAATGTTAAGGCCTTATCCACCTTGATTGAATCAAACTTAAAGAATGATCCTTGATTCCTATTTGCCATCATAAACACAAATTTTCCAAAGCACACAAAGCTTCAACATCTGTCAGTTAAAAGTAATCGATTTGTACTAAACATTTCCAGAATCTACGAATAAACGAAACGAACAAGAGATCATCAATGCCTGATCTTGTTGAAGCAGTAATGTAGAAACTGGAAGCCTCGACCTTACCAATAATCAGACCAATATTGTGTTTTCCTTCATTTAGTTGACTAATTCGTCATCACTAACAAAGACGAGCTGGAATGCCTAAAATTTGATCAGCGACTTCGAGGATACAAAATTCACAGTCAGATGGGAGTCGAACAACTGACTCATTCTTAGACGTGTTGGTCACCATATAAACTAAAAAACGTGGGTCTATCAAAAGCCAACTCAATTAAATCCCTAACCATATTAGCAACAATCCATGAACTCACCAAGTCAACTGCAAACAAAGTTTATTCGTAAGAGCTCAAACACTACAGCAGACTTATAGCAAAGAATAAAGGAAAACAAACATTACATGACTATTTCTCAAACGAACCGCTATCCATGCAATTGGTCATTGAGACAGAATAAAATACAGAAACCAATAAATGAGCCATCTTATTAAATAAAAAGGACATATTAGAATCTAGGATAAGATTATTGAGATTGGAATAAGTGTGGTGTATATACCAACAAAATCAATCAATATTAACTGAACCAAAAGATGAAATAGGAAAAGAAAAAACGAATGTTATCTACATAATAAATCATAGCATATCCAACTGATTGGCCATTACTCAGTGATCAATCGACCGTAAATACATCTTGGTCCTGCAGGTCACTTGCGGCCTGAGTAGCTCAACAGTAACCTTTTTGACAATGACGCTAGGTGACACGGAATCGAATCTACCAGATAGCATCACTCACACCAATAACGAGTATCAAATACTAGGAATGTAAATCTAGGGGTTTATCCTGCCTACTACCTTCACAACCTCCAGAAGTCTTCGATGACCAAGCGAAATCAAGGTCAACCCGAGAAGTTCGGTCTTATGTGGAGAAATTAGTTTGTGTTAATGATGTTTGCAGAAGTACAATGAAAGCTTTACAATTAAACAACTTAACTTAGAGAGTGAAACTTTAACAAAAGTAAAATTATAGATTATGCATGGATTGTACAGTATTTATTGAAAAAAAAGGGCAACTAACCAAACCACCAGCAACAGCATAAGTAGGCAGTGAAGATAAATGATTATTGTTCCGTTCATGAGAATAATTTATTTTAAAAATCTCCAAAGCAGCATCTGGGCGGCCTTTTGCTAAGAGTACTTTAACAGAGTCAATGGCAAAATCAAACGGAAATCTATCCATCGCAGACAGTTTTTTCAATATCTGTAGATTGAAGAAAAAGAAACACATGAAACACGTTGACAGATTGATATAATTTTGAAAAAGCTATTGAATAAATTTTGATCAAAATACAATGGGATTGATATGACAAATCAAGTTTTAGGACTGGGAAAACAGAACTACATAAACCATGTTGAGGTACACAAAACTAGCTAGCTGGGAATCATACAACCTAGTAGGTTAAGTGCATATAGTTATATTTGGAAAAACGGACAGTCGTATCTACAATCATTCGTTTACTTGAATACTCTGCTTACCACCCAAGTTTGAACATACAGATTTACGTCGCGTTTTACATTTTCAGGAAAAAAATTCACGTTATTTCAGTATTTTAGAGTATATTATCGTCGGCTGAAATTTATTTGAACTTATGAAGTTCTTAGATTAGTGAATCTGACCTGCGATTGCTAGACAGACAGACATACAAAGCAGAACTTCGTGCGTACGTACATCAGTTCAGGTTGCCATACCACATTGGTACAGAAACGCGATGGTCACTTCAAATTCCATAGTAGTAGAGGTAGTAAGAGTAATCGAAAATTTTAGGGTTTGACGATATTATTCAAGTATAAATCAGTGAGATAACTTTAGAACGAGAAAGATAGAGACGATGACGAATTCAGACCAGAACTTCATACAACAAAACGAGTCGATGCACCTGAGCCATCGCAAACGATTTTGAGCCACGTCGTTCAAGGTCTCTAACCATTAGTGACTTGCGTCTCGCGGACCCAAACCAGGTAGCCTACATTTACCGACATGACTCAGTTCATTTGTCAGTGACTTCATGGATTTCTGCCATGTTTTGATTTGGCCGCCCCTAGATTTCTTCCAACCTATTTATACACCACAAAACGGGACAACCGAGTAAGTAAAGCTGTCGTTAAGAAACGAGTACTAGGTAAGGATGGCAGATCAATAGATTAAGTGGTGAAGCTTCATCAGTTGAGGTGGTTGGGACATGTGTTACGAATGCCTAACCACCGACTGTCATCAACACTGATGAGACTCCCGAGTTAAGTGAAGCGGTCAACAAGCTCAACTACTTCACTCCCTATCACAATTTCAGGTGCCGATGAAACCTAATCTTAAAGCAACATTTCGCATTTCGAGGGGGAAAACCGCATCTCGAACATGCTTGCATTGTTGTTCAGGGTAGTCAGAAGACTACATTTTGTCGGCGTCTTCACCGAATAGAACAATGTCATCGGCATATTCTAGGTCAGTAAGCGTTCCTCCTGGTAGGTCTAAGCCTGAAAAATCTGACGAGAATAATGTTAACTCTAGAAGCATATCTACAACTAAGTTAAACAAGACAACGTCACCTACGTGAATATTAGAGTGAATTTTACAGATTTAATGGGGTGAAATATAAGGTAAGTTAAACACTTAGGTCGGGAAAAGTACATAACATTTTAATTTAAGAAAATTTAAAACTTGGCAATACACAGTAAAACACCCAGTTTAAATATATAAAACAAATTGAAAAAATACCTCATTACAAGTTGCATTTGTATTTGGCAACGAACATATTAACCTCGTGTAAATATCCAAGAGTACAGAAGCTGAAATCTCATTAGAATATTCTGTTTCTTGGTTGTCCGTTATTGAAGGGAGTACAGTATAAGCCTCATCCAAAGTTCGTAATAAGCTTTCTTCGTCACCAATATCAGCATAAGCAAACAAAAGTCCTTCATATGCAAATTTAGATGGCCATAAACCTATTTGAGATAATAATTCCTGCGTAGAAATAACTTCTTCGGGGAGTCTGAAAGGTTATTTCAAAGTTTGAACAAAAGAATTAACCCAAAATATTTCAGAAAATCTGAGTAAATATTAAATTAGCATGATAACAGTGTATTTGAATGATGATTATAAATAATATCTTAGACAGAAGTGGGTTGAGGTTGGATGATGTGATACAGAGGTGGAATTAGATGTGTGGACAATGTGAAAGACCTAACACTATGATGGCATGCTTATGGACAAACATTTAACCTGAGATAAGACGAATGTGCCAAATTAAAAGTGAGATTCACTAGTATGGTTCCCATCGAAAGACCGGCTGGTGCGACTGAATTATATATATATATATATATATATATATATATATATTACATTTATACATATATATACGCTAATACAATTAAGGAGGATACTAACCAATATTTTATCTTTAATATGAAAACTTGGATGTAAAAATAAGCATACAGAATCAGTACTTAGATTGGAAGCAACAGTCAGTTATAAGTTGTTTGGCTTAATAGTAAGGTAAGGAAAACTTGTTAAGAAACGTAGCAAAACCATTACGGTTTGATACGTACATAAACCAAAGGCCATAAAGGGATGGCAACATTTTAGCATTATGTTGAGGTGGTACTATTATGTCAGGAATAGAAACATCCATGACAAAGTTAAGGTATTGTCTGACCTCTTCAGAAATATATGTTCTCAGAGACCATTTCTTCTAACTCAGTTAGGTTTGCTAGGCTTCGTGAAGTATCAGCCTTTTTTGTTCATTTAATCGTTGTTGTTCAGTTATCTGGTGTCCGATACCGAATGTCAGCCAAATGAGCTTCTCCGTGTTCTTTTTTCCTTGAGGATTCAGTACTTGCTGCATGACGCAATTTAGCTATTTCCGTTGTGTAAATCATCTGCATTCAGTGTCTTTTGCGCTTTCCTCTTCAGCTGGCTTGTTAAACTTTGAATTAGGGTTATTACATATAGTATATGGTCAATGAATATGGAGCATCTTGCATAGACAAATCTGTTAGGCTTAGTGATTCTCCTAGTTCCCGCTCTATGCATTGGAAACTATAACTTTGGTGTACGATGGCAACTCTTCCAAATTTCAGATATTGCCCTTGCTTACACAATCTTTGCCTTTACATTAGCACCTTTACAACGGTACCGCCTAATTACGTTGAAAACAACACATCTCTCAGATCTTTGATATGAAGTGAGATAACGAAGTAGGGACAATAAACACCACAATTAGCAAGAAATCATATGACTAGATGCCATGTAAACTATGCTCACCTGGCTTTCACGTAACCATGCAGAATCTGAGAAAAAATAAAACGAGTAGGCTTGAACCCAGCACTTTGAAGCATACCTAGATAATGGCTGAAAGGAATATTGTGTATTAACATGTTACCTTGTTCGGTTCATATCTCCGGCAGAGCAGCTATGATGTATAAACGAGCCATACACTCTCTAAGTGACATTACTTAACAAACGGCACTTACGGAAGTGGGAGTCAGACCAGCGTCTCGTAGATCCTTTAGAATTTTTTCCGGGTTAATAGGAAGTCCCAATCTGGCTGTCATATTTAGATATCTCTCAACAAGATCAGGATCGCCAGCTAATGGATTAGGAAAGTACAACAAGCACCGTACCTTTAACAATTCTAGCCCAAAATCCATCAGTAGCTTGTGCATTTACTTCAGCACTGTATAACGCACCCTTAATTCTTTGTTTACGGAGAAATCTCTCGATATCATTCAACTCAGATATTCCAGGTTCACGATGAAGCGAATATTTGTAATTTGGTTTTCGAAATTTTTCAGCGTTAGAAATGAATCTGGCATTTGAAAACGCGATAGATTTGGAAGTAGTCAGTTGTCTCAGGACGATATTTCTACAAAACAATCCACGGGCAACAAACTTCGTAAAAACGCCGGCCATGACAAGGTAGCGTAAGACCTCGGACTTTGCGCGTCTTTACCGGGTTTCAAATTGCGCAATGCATAGTGCAAACAGTGCAGGGCTGAACTAAGTAACTATATTTTATCTAAGACTCTTATATATAGCTTCGAACCTAGTTCTGACATTTTTAATGCGTCAGTTATCTCTCACAGAGTTGAGAATACTGAGATCTCTCGACTAAAATACTCGTTTCAGAATCACACTGGAGTGAACAGCATTACACCTGATTCCAACGATGGACTTGATGACAAAAACATGTACAAAGTATAGCTGATAAATTCGTCTCAATTGAAGACCGGTGTCAAGCAAAGCTGCTTACTCGCCCGCTTCTTCCTTCTTCTAGTAGTTGACTGAGTAATGATAGCATCAAAACGGACAGTTTCAATGCAGCTAGACGATTCCGACATTGAAAATGACCTACCTCTATTACCTCGAATTTCGTAACAAATATAGATTAAGATGGCCAGTGAATCAGTGGCCTCTGCATCGGTTGTCTTCAACACACACAATGGTAGAAGCAACAACACAACATGCACCGGCCCGATCGTACTTTACAGAAAAGCTTTAAGAAATCTGCAAACCCTTATATGCCTGGGCAGCGTAGTTGATGAACAAGGTGAATGTGATGTAGATATGATGGCATGGATTGGAAAAGTAAATCATCAACCTAGATGGTGACCTAACTGGTTTTATTGGACACACCCAAGCTGAAATCATTCGGTCACTCATCATCGTCAAATTGCTGTAGGTTATGTTGTGCAACTTCATTAGCAAGCCTATTTCACCCACCTCTAGACATCACAAACATCTTTCATATACATCCTTGATCTCCTCTATTCCTGGCTTCGGGTATTCTCGATCAGAAATATGTTACGGACAAATGTGTTTTCCAACTTTGAATATGCGTGGGTAAGATGAGAGTTTGTAAACTCGGTGACATAATGTGAGTGTGTTTCTTGTCACAGCACTAGATATATTGGTATATTTTCACATTCCGTAATACCGTTTTCGCTTTCGATAAAGTTGTTGAATATTCACGTACACTCCATTTTTATTTTGTCGAAACACACCAGGGTTTCTTTAAATGAAAAGTATTTAGCTTCCAACTTCCAACGCTTGCTATTCTGGACTGGCGACATCAACATTTGGTTCTGCTATACAGAGGCTAACTTCTATGATCATGGTGTAACAGACCTTCCTCGCTGCAATAACCCAATTACCGGGTGAGCTGTGCATGTATGTTACAACCGTTAAGTTTATTACTGATATTTACAAACTGTACGACAACTAAAATTTAGGAATTTCTTGGTATAGGGATCTGAACAAAGGTTAGATTATCTCTTCCACAACACAGAACTATCTCATGGCTCAGCAACGGTAATGCTGCTTCATTTAAGAGAGGTCACTAGCCAACAAAATTTCGAACTTTCAAACTTGTAATAAGCCTTTTAATCCAAACTTCTTCAAAAGGTGCAAACTCTTCTATCCTCATTTCAGAATATTGCTGTAGACAAATTGGCTGCATCTGTCGATCGGATTCTAGAAGTTTGTTCTCTTAAAAATAAACTTCACTAGACCCGATACGAAATGGCAAGCCACTGTAATTCAGTTACATACTTTCCCAACCTTTAGTATGATCGAAAACGATGAATAACTCTTTGAAGAAGCCCATTACGGAAAAGACCTATTTCTAAGTTATGGGAAAAAGATAACCTGAACTGGTGTTGGCACTACAGGCAATGAGGTAGACTTTGTAGCTTACCTGGCTATAAATCTTCTATCATTAACATTCCAAAGAACTTTCCCACCGGAACGCGTTGGCCACAACCTCTGCCGGTGGATGAAGCTGTCTATTTTACATCACTGGTGTGATGACTAATGTTCACACTCTTGTTGATACTGGATCAGAAGTAATCTTTCTTCCAGAGAACACAAACGATCGTTTACCCGATCTAGTATTCAATCTACACAAAACCAATCGCCACTAACGGGAAAAGGTACGTTTAACTTAACGTGGATTTTTGTTGTTTCATTGCCAATCATTGGTACAGACCTGAGATCACACCATAAACTGTTGATAGGTCCAAGCTAACGCAGGTTAGTAAGCAGCGATATCGGACCATCTGTTTATGGAGTTTTAGCTTATGTCCAATAACCATCAAACACATAATCGACCAATTCTCCCAAACAATGCACAAGCGGTACCCAAAATTTTTTACGCACCAATTAGGCCCGTCACCCCCGATAGAGCATAGGCCATCGACCAGTGTTCTCCAACCTACTCTGTCCTGCGCTTCCCTTTCCAGTGCCGTTCAATTTTTGTTCATTCATTTTCGGCCCCCCTCATTTCCTTTAACCTTGGGGATTCCAAGTGAGGGCTTGTCTTGTGACACAGTCTGGTGCTTTTCGCTTTGTGTGTCCTATCCACTTCCACCGCTTCTTCCTGATTTCCTTTTCCACTGGAATCTGGTTTATTCTCTACCACAGCGAGTTGTTGCCGATAGTGTCTGGCCATAGTACTCGAAGCATTTTGCGTAGAAAAATACTAATGAATATTTGAATCTTTTGGATGATGGCTTTGGTTGTTCTCGTTTCCGCTACACATAGTGGAACTGTCTTGATATTTATAGTGAAAATTGTGACTTTGGTGTTTGTCGACAATTGTTTCGAGTTCCAGATGTTGTTCAATTGTAGAAAAGCAGCCTTCAAGTGTCAGTGATACTGCCCAGTCTCCGTAGTGCTGTCCCGTTCACGCTATCAAACGCTTTCTCTTAGTCAACGAAGTTGATGTGGAGTGATGAGTTCCATCAAACTGATTGTTCCACAGTGATTCGTAAGGCTGCAATTCAATCGGTACACAATCGATTCTTACGAAATCCGGCCTGTTGGTTTCGCAGCTGGGCGTCCACGAATTTCTTCATTCTGTTTAACAACACTCTGTTGAAGACTTTGCACTGAACTCAGAGAAGACTGATGCCTCTGTATTTCTCACACTTGGTGAGATCGTCTATCTTTGGTATTTTGACCAGATCCTTCTTTCTAGTTTGTTGGTACCCGTTCTTCATCCCAAACCTTTTTGAAGAGAATGTGGCCGTTTCCGCCGTCATTGCTAGATCTTCCACATACTTACGTCTGTCGGCTTTGATGCTTCTCTTCGTTTGCCAGTTTGCTTCTGTGTATTCAGCATGTGTCTTGGCCTCCTTACTCCTATTATAATTGTGTTCCATGGTTGTGCTCTCTTCAGTGAGTATATCGTGCAACGCCTGGAACCGATTGGTGAGGGCTATCTTGAATTCGTTGAGTTTTATGGTACCTCGAAGAAAGGCTGTATTAAACTTCTGTGATGTTGTTTGCCAGTTGTCCAGTGTTTCTTCAGTTGCAGTTTCATTTTGGTGATCAGCAAGTGGTGATCTGAGGCTATATCAGATCCTCTCTTGGTTCCCACATCCTCCATGGTCCTTCTGAACGTTTTGTTGATACAGATATGGTCAATTCGGTTTTGAGTAGTGTGGTCCAGTGAAATCCATGTGGCTTTGTGCAAGCATTTGTGTGAGAAAACTGTTCCACCGGTGACCAGTTTGTTGAAGGCACATAAGTTTGCAAATCTTTCACCGCTTTTGTTCCTTTCTGGCAGTCCATGTCGTCCCATGATGTCTTGATATCCACTGTTGTCCATGCCAACCTTGGTATCCAGATCTACAATCAGAATGGTCGAATCCTTTGGTGAGCATCTGCCAACGACTGACTGCAGCTTCTCGTAGAATTGATCTTTATCGTTGCCATTGTAGTCACTGGTAGGTGCATAACGTTGGATGACGTTCATTGTAATGTCCTGTTTGTTTATTTTGAGAGGTGCCTTGATGATCCTGAGGCCACGAGATTGCCATCCTGTCGGTGCCCTTTGTGCTTGTTTGGACAGCATCAGTGCAACTCCTTGGGTATGTGAGGCATTTCTTACTTCATGGCTGGATTACTGCAGCAGCTATACTGAAGCTAAGCTCAGTTACTCAACCTGCATCTGATGCATTTCATTGATTCCAAGCACTTCCAGCTAGTATCTTTTCATTATTGCAGCAACTTCCGGTCTACCACAATGTTTGATCGTTCCATGTGGTTAAAATAATGGTTGGTATGGTTGCGAGAAGAGTCATGGGCCTCCTGACTTTCAAAGAGATTCGACTTTCATCATGAGATGTCATAACTCTTCTGAATGAAGACCTTCTTACTCCCAGGGGAGAATGAAAATAGTTTGAATTGTTTTTTGTAGTTAACTTTTTTTGGCGAGTTAGGTTTTCCTAGGATGGTGCGGTTAAACCCATGCCCAACTCTCCTCCTTTATCAGGGCTCGGAACCGGTAGCAAGCCAAGAGGCGCTCCAGGCGGAGTTAAGCGGTACCCGAAATAGTACACAGAATGATAAAAACTACCATGCGCGATTAGAAATTCCACACATTGGATCACTATTGACGGGACACCTGCATTCGCCACAGCCAGACGAATAGTTCCTGAAAAGCTAAGACTTGTCAAAGACGAATCTATCCACATAATAATTTGAGGGATTATCCAGCTGTCAAACTGGGCGTCAGTATCGCATTACATATAGTCCCTTAGAAGGACGGCAGTGATTAGTGTCCAACTGATGATTATTGATGCGTGAATACAAAAACCATATCAGATGGTTACTCACTACATTGAATTCGTGATTTGACGGATATCTTGAACGATTCAACTGTTTTTTCATACATCGACCCAATATTTATGGCTATGGAAGACATTCTTAAAAAATGTATCATCATTCTCTTTCGACATAATGATTTTTTGCCTATGCATTTCGATTTAGGAAGTGCTGCCTAAACTTTTCACAGATTCATTGATAACGTTTTCAGTGGTTTCAACTTTGCCCCTCCTTATTTTGATGACTGTTTAGCTGCAAGTCCGAGCAGAGAATGTCATCTCCAGAGATGTCGAATTCGCCGTTTA